TCTAGATCAGTCTGGTCTGTTGTGTACCCACACAGGGCTGTTGAGCACGGGCAGGCTGACTCTCGAACTGTGAACTGGGGAACTGCTGCTATCAACTTGATTCCTACTCATACCAACTATGTGCACAACAGATACACAAAACAATTTCATATTCAAAATGCAAAGATTATGACTGGGTGGTTTTGAATGAAGCTCCCCATTTACCAGATGGGAGCCTGGTGCATAGTGGTTATGTAGTATTGGACTGCGATCTGTAAGGTCGGACAGCTGCTCCAAGGGAGAAAGGCTGGCTTTCTAATCTACTCCTGGGAACAGGTAGACAGTACCAGAAATTCACATTATGTAGACTCCGTGGCAGTGAGTTTTGTTTTGTTTCTAAAAAGATGTATTTTTCTGATGAGTAGCAATTCTGTCCATTATCATCGAGTCAAAGAAGTTCCTTTTAGAAGTCATAGAATTGGGGATTAGGAATTCAGACCAGTCTATAGAGATCTGATTATTTCATGCATAAAGCAAAAGCCAAGCTCACTGCCATAAAGTTCAGTTCCAGTTACAGCAGTAAATATTTGGGGAGCAAAAAGGCTATCTCATTCTCCTGTGGAGCAGTTGGTGGGTTTGAACCAGCGATCTTGTAGCAGGCAGCCTAACACTTAGCCAGAATTGCCACATAGTGTTGATAGAGTGCTTTTCATACCCTAAACGTTTTTATTTTAACTTAAAGAACCTCTCTACAGTCTTGACCGGGGCTCCACAACCTTTAACTATCACAGACCATCGGTAAGTCTGTCATGTGAGTAAAATGCAAAGGTGAAGTCTGATGGGCATTTGTTTAAAGTGTGACCTTAGAGGTACTTACAAAATCATTCTAGATTTTTATCTCTTTTTTCAAGTCTTTTCCAGAATGCAGTCTCATCCATGCTTAGCATACTAGTTCACAAATAGCCTGCCCTCATAAATAACATATACAAACAGAAATGACTAGTTTTTTTAAAGTTCTAGTATAGTGTGTCAGTGCACATACTATACACACAAGTGAATTTACCCTCATTCAGTAGTTGTGCATATATTAATTTTGATGATTTGTATGCTAAAGCTATAAGCCATGTTTAAGATGTCACAGATTGAGTTTGGTAGTGGCCTCTAAGGGAAAAATAAAATGCATTTGCTCAGGGGCAGTTTGCCTGACCTAAGAGCATTGGAGATCCGTGTATCTCATCCTCACCTGGGGACTTAATAAGCAGAGAGCCATGGTGGGCTGGAGCCATTGCCTGGTCCAGATCTGCTGGCCCCCACGAGAGGCTATGGAACAAGATAGGTGTAAGCACCTACTGTTTCAGTCTCGTGGGGCCCCTGGGGAACCAGTCAGAGGTCATTTAGTAAGAGATAGTAACTCCTCTGTGCCCATCTGCAGTTCTCATGGCACCAAGCAAGATGAAGATTCAGTTGGCTGGGCACAGTGGCCTCTCTAGGTTGAGATGCACAAACCCAGCCTGTAAGCACAGGGTTGGCCTTTAATTTCTTCCATACTGGGGAAAATGATTCACAGAGCATGCCGCCTTCATGCCACCAGACACCAAGATGAACACTCACCATTAACTCTATTGAGTTTTAAGTCATTGGCATGTTTAAAATATTGGCATTGCCTATGAAAATAGCACTAACATGGGCAGGGGGCAGATTTTGCTATATGTGGAAATGTGTAGCCTGCATTATTTGCACCAAATTCAGGAATTGGATAGCTGTTTTTTAAAATCCACCTTAAGTGAATCCTTAGGGAGGTTTTAGGTTAGTCTTTTTCATGCACTCTGTTCTTCCCTTCCTTTCAAATTCTTTAAATCTCAGTAATTCTAAAAGGGCAGTTGGAATAATTTAAGTCTGGGAAGTGATGCAGCTCCATCTGCTGGGCGAGCAGCATGGTGGTGAGGGTCAAGAGATGAGTGCTCAGGCCAGGATCTAAGGCGTTGGCATCTACTCCTGATTAACACTCAACTGTCTTATGAGTGCGTGCTTTTTACAGGATAAGGAAATAAGCTGTGAAAGGTAGACCATTGCTTTGTGCATCATACTATGAATAGAACATACCATGATTATTATCTCTCCTGTATTGCTTGAAACAGATTCAAGTTCAAACCTCGATCTTCTAATATTAACTAATTTACATAACCTGTCTCTTTAGTGCCCAATTTTGATACTGAAGTCCATTTTGCTGATACTTAAGAACACCTTAGCACTAAGATTATCTAGGAGCTCTGGTGGTGTAATGGTTATGAGTGGCCTGCAATCCAAATGGTCAGCAGTTCGAAACCAACAGCAACTGCTCCAGAGAGAGACTTGGCTTTCTACTCCAGTAAACAGTTAAAGTCTTGGATACCCATTGAGCAGTGGCTCAGTGGCAGTGAGAAATCTTTCATCCCTTTTTATCAAAATCGCTATTTGAGGCTGTGGACTTGATGCTACCCCCAAAGACAGCCATCCGTATTTTAGCTCAGGGTTTAAGTTTGTGTTAACTTACAGTGCTCTGTGGATTTTCCACTGGTCAGCTGTTCACTTGGAAATAAATGCTTCTGAGAGCAGCAGAGTCTTGTCCAGGGAAAGGAGAGAAGCCACGCTTAAGACCACTTGAGCACTAGATCACTGTTCTGATGTGACCTGTGTTGCCTTATCAACTGGATGAGCTGTATAGGTATTCTCTTGGATTTCTTGGGGTGGTACAAATGGTTAATACACTCAGCTGCTAACCAAAAGGTTGGACGTTTGCATGTACCTAGAGGAAGATAATCTTGAGTGTGTCGAGAGGAAGGCCCTGGGCATCTACGTGTAAAAAACCAGCGATTGGAAGTCCTTACGAGCACACATCCACCCTGACACAGCACGGGATCCCCATGAGTTTGAATTGAATAGATGGCAACTGGTTCCCTTATATATATAACAACTCAAGTTTTCAGGGGATTTGGGAAAGGTGGGAGTCACTGAGCTGTAAGCCTTGAACTTTCTAATAGGGGAAGGCTGACTCCAGTGGGGGAGGGGAATCGTGCTGGCAGTGGACTTGTAAGGCCAGTTGCTTCTTTCTGGCAGTGCAAGGAGAGGGCGCTGAACAGATTCAACTGCTGGCACACTTGCTCGAGAAAACCAGTGCCCACCCTGAGTCCTAAAGCGTTGCTCTAAACTTTTCCGGTGCGTTTTCCTGTGAGAATTGTATACTTGAAGATAACACGAGGGGACTTCAAAATGCTCATGGGGAAAAATTCCATTATCTTTTAAGCCCCATTTCCTTTCACAGAGGTACTTTCGCTATCATCTTTGCTCAATTTGGTTAAGGCACCTGCTGCTAATTTCATAAACATCGTTTGGTTGTTTATCAAAATCTATTTAGCTTGGTGGATTTCTACTTAATTTCTCCCACAAATGTTCATTTTGTAAGATGGATATGTGAGGTTTGGTGGTCTTTAGTGTATTCATCTCTGATACATACAGTTTTTGTTTCAAAAAAGCTCGTATCCTTCATACCTCATACTGTTCTAGATCAGGGCTCCACAGACTTGGCCCATAATGGATCATGTGGAAACCTGGGGTTCTGTGGGCCATGGGATCACTGTCACACTATTCATCTCTGCACTGGTACAACAGTAGCCACAGACAGCAGTGAATGAGAGTGTGACTAGAGACTTTTATTTATAGACACCAAAATTTGCATCTCCTAAAATTGAGAAATGTCAAAATCAATCTCTGTCCCAGAGACGGTACAAAAACCAGGGGGTGGGCTACAGTTCTGTAACACCTATTCTAGGTCATTAATTGCCTATATAAGGAGCCTCGTGTAGTGGGTTACAAGTTGGGCTGCTAACCACAAAGTCAGAAGTTTGAAACCACCAGACACTCAGAAAGAAGACTTTCCACCTGTAAAGATTTATAGTCTCAGAAATGCTGCAAGAACAGTTCTTACCTATTTTATACGATCACTGTGAGTCAGAATTGACTTGTTGGCAGTGAGTTAGAAATGAGTTACTGAGGCCCGAGTGGCTTCTGCTTACTGATCTAGGCTTCCACCAGTCATAAGTGTAATAATAACACTTACATACATTCCTTTCTGCCTTACAGATGGCTACAGACAGCATGTGTTGTTGCCTAAGCATTCTCACGTGTGTTAGGTGAGGAAACAGGCTTGGAGAGCATGAGTTGCTTACAGTCACTCCTCCTTAAATCTGGAAAGCATAGTTAAGGCAAGAGATTCTGTAACTTCCAAATAAATGATGCAAGCACACACTGTATTAGGCTGAGTTGACTAGAGAAATAAATTCAGTAACATATATTTATATGAGAGCTTTATGTCAAAGAATTAACGAGTCGAGAAAACAGCCCAGCCCAATTCAAGTCCATAAGTCAGATAATTGTCCATAAGACCCTCTTCAGACTTCAGACAAGCAATGATGCAGAATGCAGGACTGTCACAGGTTGGTGGGTGCAAAGTTGTGTGGCTCCAATGGCAATGGAAGCATCAGGTCTCAGTATCCAGCCAGCAGGGAAGTGAAAGGGGGGGCGGGGGGATGTTCAGAGAAGGTCATGCCCACAAGGAGGCACCATCAGGCTATGATCTGATTGACAGATTGAATAACACCCCCACACTTTCATATGTATCTTCAAGTTGGCATGAAATTATTTAACTACCACACACATTTAGTGCATACGTTTCTAAGGATAATAAACCAAGGCTAGGCCCTCATCCTTTCTTATTATCCAAGAATAGGAGCTTTTCATCACATTGAATCTGGTAGCTTCATGCTGTCACTGTGGTCTAATTTCAGAAAGACATTGCTCACATTGGCTGTCAGTTGCTTTTGTTATGGTATAATGTCCCTAATAATTTCAGCGAAAAAAGATTAGGATAAATTTACAGCCTTGCAGAGCATGAGATCGCATTTATGTGGATTGTTTATAAAACGCTTCCCAGTTCCAACCCGGCTGCTGTAGCCAAGTGTCCTTATTAGTGGGTCGTCTTGCAGGTATTGCTGGTGAGCAGCAGTCGGTATCCAGACCAGTGGATTGTCCCTGGAGGTGGCATGGAGCCCGAGGAGGAGCCTGGCGGGGCTGCCGTGAGGGAGGTTTACGAAGAGGTAAGACACGAATAGTGGAAGTTGGCTGATCTCAACACAAACTGAGTTTAGGGATATCCCTTTACTTGATGCTTAGTGAAACAAAGCATTTTGTTCTGTAACACAGAAGAAACATAGATGTGCAGGTCACAAACGTTCTGGTTTTGCCTGCAGTGTTTTTATATGTACCTATAACTAGCATTTTCCTTAGTTTTCCTCCCCCCTTTACTACTACCTAGTAAAATGGCTTGAAGTATAATGTGGAAAACCCCTAGAATTTAATACAATAGCCTCATCCAGGAGTAAAATTAGTATTTTTGGAGAGACACAAATCATGTGCGATGATTGATCGTCATTCAGGTAGATTTGCTGTCTTAAGGCTCATTAAAATGTGGTCCATACACAAAAGCATGTATGTGGCCTGTTTGCACTCTTGCAGTGGGTAAGTCATGGCTGAAACATGCTTTTACGGAACCGCAGACTGTACACTGAGTACCATCAGTAGTTAGTGAAGGGCAGTTGTGCAAACACTGGGCCTCGGTGTGCCCTAGAGGTTTCAAAGGATCTTGAAGCACGAGCAACTCCTTGAGAATTGTAAAAAGCACACCAAGTAGAGGAAACAACATGCAGCTCTCCCTCCATTTCTAGTATGATTTGAGCCAGGGAGCACACTGGGGCAGTCCTCGGTGGAGTTAGGCAGACTTAGCAGGAGAATACATAGAAAGAACCAAATCTCCTAGGCCAGGGGAGGAAGTGGAGGAAAGACCAAGACTGACCTTTAAATTAAAAAGGGGAAGAGACTAGACTGTTCATACATATAGAAAGGTCTGTTTTCATCCATGAATTTTGTCCAAAATTGGACAGGAAGTCAATTCTATCAGCATTGGCACAAAATAAATGACAAACTGGATAAATGACCATGGGAAGTTACACATGGAATAAATTAAGACATATTTTGTAAGCCACACGTTGTGAATCTTGGTATAGCTAAAGAACATTCACAGAAGTTTGGGATGGATGAGCCTATTTTATTTGGATTCAGAAATCTAACAAGGGAAACAATGAATCAAACCCACTGCCATTGAGTTGATTCCAGCTGATAACAGCCCTTTGTAGGGCTTCCAAGAGTGTAAATCTTAACAAAAGCAGACATCGTTCTTCCTGAGAGATGCTGGTGTGTTTGAACTACTTACCTTGTGGTCAGCAGCCTAATACTTATCCCATGTACCACCAGGGCTCTCTAAAAAAAAATCTGAATAGCCCAAATGCCAACTTTATTATACAAAAGTAAAACTTGTTTTTCCTCCCCCCCCCCCAAAAAAAAAAATAGGCTGGAGTAAAAGGAAAATTGGGCAGACTCCTGGGCGTATTTGAGGTGAGTTACCAAAGTAATCCTCCACTTGTTGATAATACAGAATATAATGTTGATAATTACCCAAACCATCCAGGTGCCTGGTTATTCGGAGGAGGTAAGTCAGTCATAAGAATTAGGAAGGTATTAAGAAATAAAATTTATACAGCAGCATCATTGTAGTAACTGTTTCATCGAACAAATATAGGAAGACATCTATCTCTCAGTTCACTGTATACTGTGTAGGACTTTATATAAGGCTGCAGTATTTTAAAAAACCCACCTCAGCCCAACTGATAGGGACAAAGTAGAGCTGTTCCTTGGGGTTTCTGAAGCTGTAAATCTTTACGAGAGCAAACAACCTTGACTGTCTCCTGGAGAGGTGAGGTGGGTATCTTTGAACTGCTGACTCTGTGGTTAGGAGCCCCAGTACTTGACCCACTGCACCACCAGAGCTCCATGGCATCCTTTTGTCACCTAAAGGACTTTAGTCTCATGTGGACTGTCTGGGGAGAATGCCTATTCCCTACAGCATACAGCATCAATCAGTAGGCATAATGACTTTATCCTGAAAAACATGGAATAGTATATGCCAACTTAATAGAACTCGGTTCCGTATAACTTATTAGCAAAATACAAGGGGGAAATTGGAAGTGATGGGTATTTAAAGATGGGGGAAATGAAGTAAGGTCATGAGACCCAGCTATTTTCAAATGTGTATCTGAAATTTGGACTGTTACATGACTTCAGAAATAGGTGTTTTCACTGCTATCTTGCCATCTGCACCCCCACAAGATACTACTGTTTGTTTGTTTTGGGTTTTTTTTAGTCATTTTATTAGGGGCTCATACAACTTTTATCACAACCCATACATACATCAATTGTGTAAAGCACATTTGTACATTCATTGCCTTCATCATTCTCAAAACATTTGTTCTCCACTTAAGTCCCTGGCATCAGCTCCTCGTTTTTCCCTTCCCTCCCCATTCCCCCCTCCCTCATGAGCCCTTGATAATTTATAAGTTATTATTTTGTCATATCTTGCCCTGTCCGACGTCTCCCTTCACCCACTTTTCTGTTGTCCATCCCCCAGGGAGGAGGTCACATATAGTTCCCTGTAATCGGTTCCCTCTTTCCAACCCACTCTCCCTCTACCCTCCCAGTCAAGATACTACTGTTTAAACCTCATTCCTTCTGATAAAACCACATGCATTTTATTTCAAGCCCTTTGGTGGTAATTTGCTGGGTGTGGAGATCCTCATGTTGTTATGGAACTCCATAGAATTGTCTGCAACTAGTGTTCATTAGGAGTCCTAGTCTACCTTCTGAAGATTTCAGTACTCACTGGATAATAGCACCATCTTCTGGTTAAACTGAAATCTGATACGGGTTCTCTGTGCTAGCCAGAGGAGCATATGGAACAAATAGCACATTGTGTCAATCTGCTAACAAAGTTTTTAAGTAAACCTCTCAAATTAGAAAGAAAAGATGTGTAATACCGGTGAGGTAATCATAGTTTAAAGTGCTTGAGAAATTCATAGACTATGATCAAGAAGCCCTAACCAGTGCACCTTTCCCTTTAGTAAACTTGTAACTACAGGATAATAAATACATTCATTTATCAGACAAATGACTTTTTTTTTTTTTTTTAAGGTTTTTTTTTCAGTCATTCCACTAGGGGCCCATACAACTCCCACCACAATCCACACACACACCAACCATACAAAGCACACCCATCACCCTCAAAACACCTGCTCTCCACCCAAGCCCCCGCAAATGATTATTATAAGCAACAACAAAAAAAAACAGTTTGCCTAAAGTCTTAACAGTCCTCAACCTGTGGGTCACAACCCGTATTTCCGTTGGTCTTAGGAACCCAGACACCACTCCTCTATCAGTTTCCAGGCAGATACACCCACATATGAATATCCAGCGTGAAGACTGTTACCCATGCTACACCGTGCTTCAAGACAAAATTTCATTTATTTGTACCATATATACTCAAATATAAGCCTATCCAAATATCAGCCTAGGCACCTAATTTTACCACAAAAGATACATTGAAAACATTGGAAAGCTAGGCTTATACACGAGTATATACAGTAATAGAAACAAATACTTCACAATATATAGTTACATATTTTTGTGATAAATCACTGCTTTAATTATGTTCAATTTGTCACAGTGATACACATCCTGCATATCAGATATTTACATTATGATTCATAACAGTAGCAATGAAAATAATTTGATGGTTGGGGGGGGATCACAACATGAGGAACTGTATTAAAGGGTCGCAGCATTGGGATGATTGAGAACCACTGTCTTAGAATAGACCAAACAACGCTACATTTATGTGTCATAGTTAACTTGCTGGCAGTGGGTTGGGTGAGTCCTTTCACCGTAAAGGCCAGCAGGTGTTTAATTTTGAACGTATAGATTCTCTCTCTCTCTCTCTCTCTCAGACACACACACACACACACACACGAAATATGTACATGGCTAGCTCTTGTAAACTAAAATGCCTTTTTTTAATATTCAAGCAGAATCAAGACCGAAAGCACAGGACTTATGTGTATGTTCTTACAGTCACAGAAATATTAGAAGATTGGGAAGATTCTGTTAATATAGGTAAGTTTCCTTTCCTTTAACTATACCTGAATTCTCTTTGGTTACCTTTATATTGGTGAAAGGAAAGCCAAGTTGTAGCTCCACATTTGGATGATCTTCAGAATGCCTCCCCAGCATTGCATGCCTCCTGAATCTGGATGGTAAGACGTAGCCTTTTAATTGAAGGGTTTTGTAAAGCTTGTAGTTCAGTAGTATACCACAGGCATGCTGTCAGTCTTTTCCCCTACCCACTTCTAAGACATGTCTGTCTGCTTACCTCTGATGTACTGAGATAATGGTATTAAAGGAAACTGCCTCAGGCGCTTAGTGTACTTATAAGTGCATCTTTCTTAAACTATTGACCATTATCCACCCCCAGGCATAGTTACAGATTCCTTTTCAGGACAGTGTGCCAAATTCTCTACCTAGCTATGCCTAAGGCTTTGGTACTGTTCTTTTTTAATTGTCACCTCCTCCGACCATTCACTTTATTTTATAATAACTAGCAATATTGTGCACAATTAGTCTCTTAAATTATACTGTTAATCTCTCACCGAAAGGTAACTAAGTACCTGACCCCATCTACCTGTTTAGAGGTGGGAACTGGACCATCAAATATCTAAGCTGTTTCTTGCCAGGGACGAGGGAGTATGCTTTGTGGGTGACAAGTGGGGTACTGTTAATAGGGGACACTATTAAAAAAATGAACGTTATTGTATAGTTAACAATGTCATGCTATTTTCTAGGAAGGAAGAGAGAGTGGTTCAAAGTAGAAGATGCCATCAAAGTTCTCCAGTGTCATAAACCTGTCCATGCAGAGTATCTGGAAAAACTAAAGCTGGGCTGTTCCCCTACCAATGGAAACTCCTCTGCCCCTTCCCTCCCAGACAGTAACGCCTTGTTTGTAACTGCTGCACAGACCTCTGGGCTGCCACCCAGTGTAAGATAGAAGCTGGCGGCCTCCCGCCCGGTGAAACCTCCAAGGGGGAGAGGCTGCCTTTTCCTTGGCAAACATCTGAATGACGCTTGCAAGCTGTCAGAATTTGCCATGCAAGGTTTCAAACAATTTGCATGTTTTTCAGATGCTTTCAAAACATTTTATATATATAAAAAAGTGTAAAATATTTTAATAGCCAAAGCCATGTGAATTTTTTTAATGCCTTAACTGTGCCCCCACCCCCATGTGTTCTGCTTGGTTTCTTTTCACAGTATTTTCCCCCACGCTGTTTGTCCAGTCTGGTTTTTCAGTCATCTTACTGATAGGTATATGTCTATGCACACCCCCACCCCATTTGCTTTCTTATTCACAGCATTAATATATTCCACAAATCTGTCTGTGGTGATAATTGGTAAAAAGGCTACTTTGGAACATTAAGGAAATTTTGTATGCATCCCAAAAGTTGTTTCCTCAGAATTACAATTTTAATTAGTAAATTCCAGACTTTATTATTAGCCTTTTTGTGTTGTCCACTAACTACTTTGATACAGACTGAATTTGCTCTTTTCAGGCATTTGTCAACTTTTTAATCTGTTTCACAACCAGTATTACTCTGTAGCTACTTGATTGTCATTTCCCCTAAAACCCAGTAGTAATTTAACACAAAGCAGCAACCCTGTAGAGTTGGTGATTTTTAGGAAACTATTGTTAGAAATAAATGAAATAAAATGAAAATAGAAAAAATTGTTATGAAGAAAATAGCGCTTAGGGGAGATCGAGGCAATACTGTACACACAATTCCTTCATTACATTTTATTTCAGAGCATTGTAGGCCACAAAAAATTACCTCGGGGGCCGCATACGGCCCCTGGGCCACCAATTTGATACTCATTCTATAGGTTTCCCATAGGTACTATTTATACCATAGCTTATATTTTAGAGCAGTGTGACACCCTCTATTGTTCCTGGCTTTTAATTGCTTTTATTCTTGCTTAAAGTCTATCCCATCTAAAATACATGGGCACTTTTCTCATTCAAACTCCTGCACTTCCCCCAAGTCAATCAGAACTGAGGTGGAAAGTCTTGATTCGGGTCCGGGTGAGGAAGTGACAGAATGCTCTGTGTGTAGACTTAGCTTGTTGTAAATGCTAATGACTAGTGAGCATACGATAGAAAATACAGTGAAGAGATTCTGTTCTACCAGCTAGCTTTGTAAAACTATAATTGCTGCTAAAGATAGAGCTGTTACACTTTAAGACAAATTGGTGCCACTGTTTTGAAAATGGGAAATCTTGTGCCATAAACACAGCTGAACAAAGCTAATAGTCCATAAATTAATGTTGTCAAAGGATTAAGTATAGAGCATCTATTAACCAGTGATATAATTTTATTCTAAATTAGGCCACATGATCAATAGGATCATCCAGGATTTTTATATTTTGTTTTCCTGCCCCTTGTACAAAAGTTATGTATTCTGGGTGGTTTTGGTTTGTTTTTTAAAGGAAACCTTGAAATTGATGCTTTCTATCAATCTCCAATGGACTAAGATTTTTTTCCCCTTAGGAATCTCTTACATTTCTGTAAAGTACCTTCACAGCCAAGAACTGGATTTCTTTTGTGTACATAAATGAAGTGCTGTCACAAGTACTAGGGGGTGGGAGGGGGTTTAAACTTGTACATGATATTCTTAGGTAATGATGCATGATCTTATTTTATGAACTATGTATTTGACATGTAAAAAATGTACAGCATTGTTGTCAACCATATCTTAAAAGTTAGCCTATAAATATTGATGTATAATTTTGGGGGGGTCAGAAACATTTGGACTAAGCATTGCCACTCGGGTCAGGATTTTCTCCAGCACCATTTCACAAATTGTCTTCAATCTTTGCAACTAGCAAGATGCCCACGACTTCTGTTTGCAGAAGTAGAATACAGTTGTCACATTTTCACTGGGGGCTGGAGAGGGGGGAACCACAAGCAGGCATGTTCTTCGCTACTCCTCTGGAGCCCAACTGGAAAAATTGTAGGAAGGGCCCTGAGATTTATTTCTCATAGAAATAAAGGCTACAAATTGAACCCAGCACAGAAACCAAACAATGTCTCCTATCGATAGCCTCCCAAATCTGTGGTGCTGGGATTACCATTTGCCTTTCCATTAGGTAGTTGAATACAACTGGGAAGCTATTCCTCTGCCCCATGTGCCTCCCATGTTTAAAAAACACAACCCTTAATGCACTCATTAAAGACTTGTAGACAAGAAGTAGGAACTGTCCTGTGGGCTCTGTAAAGGTATTTTTCAAGCAGGCATTTGCCATCCAATTTTGTCCATCACCTCATTGTATAAAGTAGAACTGAAGTGGGCAGGAGTGACTTTGTATGCACACACTTCAAATGTGTTAAATAGTCTCATTTGAGATAAATTGGGCAACACTAAATAAAAACAACGGACATCAGCTGTCTGAAGCTTAGAGTGAAGCACACATACTTTTTGTTAGAATCAGTTGTGCACATAAACATCCATAATGTTGATTGCATTCTTTGAGTGGTTCAGCCACTTTCTCTTGAGTCATTCTTCCATGATCATAAACTCCCTGCTCCTAGGCTTGCTTCCTTTCTAACCTTTTTGGTTGCTGTAAATTTGATCCTGTATACATCTAAGAGCACAACCCTCAAGGCAGACACTTTTCACTCATTGAACAAAACTCTTTAACAAGAGTTCTGGATATTTGGGGTTTTAAATTTAAAGAGAATTTCCAGGCACTAGTTTCAGGGGATCACCTACCATACCCTCCATGGTTCTAGAAAGTCTGAGCTTCCTGCAAATTTGAGATTCGGTCATTGTCCCCCTCTCCTCCCCCACCCCTGACCAGGATTCTGCTATTAAGTTCAATATCAGAATGCTCTGGGCACCATCAGTTCTGGTTCAGTAGCAAAGGAGGCAATTAGCCACACATTCCGTATCCTCCTATTCCTGACTCTCTTACTTCAGATGAATAATGACCAATTGTGCTTTGGCTGACCATGTGCAAGCTTTTAAAACACCAGGCACCATGCAACAAACTTAAAAAGAGCAGGCTGATTAACTAGATGGTCCATGAAACCATGACTCTGTACCTCAAAGGAGGAACCAGATTCCAGTGTTTTGGCTTTGATCAAATTTATGTAATTTTTGCCAATTCAGTTTGTTTTGTTTTTCATTATAGCTGTAAAGCTTGGAGACAGCACGTGCAGTAATTGGTTATCTAACCTTACCGTTAAAGCTATTACCCTATCACTGTAACAAACAGTGCTCTATAAGCAAAAAAAAAAATCCCCACTTCATCCTGCCCCTGGCAACCGCTAATAAACTTTTAGTCTATACATTTGCCTCTCCTTGTCATTTTATACTAAGTGCTATCATAATTTTCAAGCTTTGACTTCACTTAGCATGTCTTCTAACTCCATATTGTAGCATTTATTAAGACCTAATTTCTAATGGCTGAGTAGTATTTCACTATTTACCATCAGTTGATGGGCAAGTTCATGCTTTTGACTTTGAAATAGGTAGTTAGGGTGTTCAAACATTCAACCTTTAAAAGTTTGTGTCATCCATTGATGATAATCTCAGACTAGTGCTACAATGCCTACTTCCACTTCTGATCCTTTCTAGTGAAAATTACTGGGTTAAAGTGATTGCACCTTCCACGATTTCTTAGTAATGGGCAACTGTTAAGCACTTGGCTGATAACCCAAAAGGTTGACAGTTTAAGCCCACCCATCTGCATTGCAGGAAAAAGACCCCACAATTGGCTCCTATAAAGATTACAGCTTATACAATCAACCAGACAGCACAAAACAGCAGGGGCTGCCAGTAGCAGTCCTTAGTGGTACAATTTAAGTGCTGGACTTAGCAGCTAAAGACTCAGTTCAAACCCTCCCAGACACTTGAAAGATCCTAACCTTGAAAACCCTCTGGATCTATTCTGCCTTATATACATAGGGTCTCCATGAGTCAGAAGTGACTTGATATTAGCAGCACTCCCATCTTCCAACCTAGTTGTCAGCCTAACGTGAGGAAAAAGAGATTACTACTGACCATAGTTGTGTCTTGGCCACCCCCCTCCATTAATGGGATTTTTTGTATCCCAAATGAATTTGACAAGCATTTTTGTTTTGTTTTTGTTTTTTCAAAATTCTTGTACCTGCCATGGGACACTAGTATCAGTGGATTGGGCTGGGCAAAGTAGGTGGTCCACTCCGCAGGAGAAAGATAAGGCTGGCCAGTCCTGTTAAGATTTAATTTTGCAAACCCTAAGGAGCAGGGATAGTCTGCTCTTTGGGGTCACTGTGAGTCAGAATTGACTCTGGCAGGTTTGGTTTTGATAATGTGCTTGCCACTAGTTAACAGGTTTGTTTGTTTTTTTAGTAACAGGTTTCCATGTGACTTACTTGGATATTTACTTTCACATTAGAAGTTTGTAAAACTGCCTGTCAAGGTTTTGTAGCTTTTTATTTACAGTGCCCTATCTTTAAAAGAAAATCTTTAGAATAATACTCAGGAAATACTTGACATCATTTTACATGGAGCAGAACAAGTCAGATACTTTGGGGTTCAAAAGCAATCTTACCCTTGATGTTTCTCCCTATTTAGAACACCTTCCTGAGTTGTACCATTAGCCAAATCCTAGTGGGTCTGTGACCTATCTTAATGACACAGCAAAGACTCAAATTTACTTTCTGTCATGCAGTGCCACTGACCCAGTGATAGAGGAGTCCTGAGCTCCTGCACCATGCCCAAACAAGTTGCACATTGAACACTAACTCACAGGGTTTTCCTAGTCCATGTTAAACTGGAAGGTCTGATGAAACCTGTTCAGCAACATGCACACCTCCAACACCAGGGTCAGTTAATAAAAACACTGTAAACCAGCTTTCCTCACAGTTTTTTCCTTAGATAAAATAATTTGTCCATCAATCTTAAAAATGAGGAATACTAAAAATAGACCTAGGGGCCAGGGCATGGCACCCCTTTAGACTCCACTGGAAAACACTCCTAAGGGTCAACAAACAGACCTGGAACTATTTGTGTGTGTGTGTGTGTGTGTTTATGGTCTATATGTCTACCTAGATATGATAGGTGGGATAAACAATACATGGAAGGTGGGGGAAAGGTGTTAACAAACCTAGGGACAAGGGAACAAATGATCTAAAATCACTGGCAAGGAGAATGTAAGATGCCTGGTAGGACAATCAAGGGCAATGTAGCCCAGAGGAATTACTGAAACCTGAATGAAGGCCAAACATGATACTAGGACAAGAGGAAAGTAAAAGGAAATAGAGGAAAGAAATAGGCAAAGAACACTTATAGATCTGAATACAGGCATGTACATATTAAGTATATAATGATAGGGAAATAGATCTATGTATATGTTAAGTATTAAGGTAGCAGACAGACATTAGGCCTCTACTCAAGTAGTCCCTCAATGTCAGAAAGCTTTGTTCTTATAACCAGGCATTCTGTGATGTTCACCTT